ATGAATGGATAAAGAAGATGTGGTACATATATACACCATGGACTATTATTCAGCTATAAGAAGAAAACAAACCCTACCATTTGTAACAACATGGATGGAGCTAGAGGGTATTATGCTTAGTGAAATAAGCCAGGCAGAGAAAGACAAGTATCAAATGATTTCACTCATATGTGGAGTATAAGAACAAAGAAAAACTGATTTAAAAAAAAGCAGCAGAATCACAGAACCCAAGAATGGACTAACAGTTACCAAAGGGAAAGGGACTGGGGATGATGGGTGGGAAGGGAGGGATAAGAGTGGGGAAAAAGAAAGGGGGCATTACGATTAGCATGTATAGTGTTGTGGGGGGTACGGGGAGGGCTGTACAATACAGAGAAGACAGCATCTTGCTATGCTGATGGGAAGTAACTGTAGTGGGGTGTGTGTGGGGGACTTGGTGAGGGGGGGAGCCTGGTAAACATAGTGTTCTTCATGTAATTGTAGATTAATGATAGCAAAAAAAATTAAATTAAATTAAAAAAGAAGTGAGCAGATGAAAGTCCAGTCTCTGCCCTCATTCCAGTGTGGGGGCTCTAAAGGGCCCCTCCCTTGCTGTCCCACTCCCATGGGACCCTGGGGGTGGGGGCCAGGGAGCCCTGGGACCCCTTTGAATGTCTCTTTGCCATCCTGGCTGTGCTGAGTGGGAGGATCCAGAGAGCAGGGAGGTATGGGTGAAGGGTGGGAAGGGATGGTTCAGCCCCTGCTGCTCAGCATTGAGGTAGAAACAAGACAGTCTGAAACCTATAGTCAACTAGGCCCAGGTTTGAACCCTAGGCCTGGCTACCAATTTGTTTTGTGAACTTGGTCAAAGTTCTTACTCTTGCTGGGCCTCAGTTAAAGCAAAGGGCTTGAACTTCAACAGTGGTTCCAGTTCATGGTTCCTTAGAAGGGCTGGGAGCGGCCAAGCAGGGTGTGGGACAGGAGAGGCCAAAAAAAAAAAAATCATGCTTTGTGTTCACTACTATTATTATTATTGATTCATTTATTTCTCTAGGAACCTAAGAGATAATAAATATGACTGTTATCATCTTTCTAGGATGTATGGGTGATGAGGGTAGGGAATTTTTCCTGTTTTATTCATTGTCTATCTCCTGAACCTGAAATGTACAGAGCACACAGGAGATATTCAATAAATATCTATTTAATGAATGTCCAGATTCCAGTTTTGCAAGTGAAGACACTAGGGCTTGGAGCAGTGGAATAACGTGCCCCCAGTCATTGAGCATGTAAGTCATCAAGTCCTGGTTGATGTGGCTCCAGAGCTCAAGACTGAACTTCATCTATTGGCTCCTGGTCATTTTATAATACTTGGAAAAGCAATCTTTCCCAAGCTTAGGACTTGTATTTAGGGAAAACAAAGCCTAGTTTTGGTTGGGTCTTCAAAAATGTTTAAACTTATTTTTTAAATTGAGGTATAGTTGACATATGACATATTAGTTTCAGGTGTACAGACAGCATAATGATTCAATACTTGATTTTATTGTGAAATGATCACCACAATAAGTCTAGTTAATACCTGTCACCATACAAGGTTACCAAACTTTTATTTCCTGTGATGAGAACTTTTAAGATTTATTCTCTCAGCAACTTTCCAACATGCAATACAATATTTTAACTATAGCTGCCATGCTGTATGTTACATTGGCTGGGACTTCTTAATGGGGACATGGAGGCAGAAGGAGATGTTCAGATGATGTGCAGAACTGAGTAACCCCAATTTCACCAAGTCTTATCAATAATGTGACAAAAATAAAGTTATGTTAGCATATGAGTGTTCATAGCTTGTCCCCTCTTACATCTGCTAAAGGGTATTTGTTTTCCTCAGCTTAGTTCCTTTTATTGTACAGAATTGCTTTTATGGTACAGAATTTGGCTTTAGAGAAAATGGTAAGGGGGCATAAAGGGTGTACTCCAGAAGGGACTGAGTTTTATGCATGGGAGAGGACAAAGAGTAGAAACTGAAGGAAAGAGAGAGTGGTGAGGAGAGACAAGATCCACAGGACTGGGCATCAGGGAGACCAGAGGGTGACAGAGGAAGACAGAGGTTTGGGGGCTGGTCTCCATGTTTATGTAGAATTATGTTAGGGGTGGGGAGAGAGGATTTTTTAGTTTTGCTTTACAAAACTTTTTGCCTCCTCCCCTCCCCCTCCACCAAATTGTAAACATTTCTTTTAGGGAAATAGTAAAAAGGTAATTCCTAATCCTCTGAACTAATGGTTAGTGTAATACTACTTCAGGATAGGGATGACAAGACATTCCGGCTTCTGTGTAATAATACCCCACTGACTTCTTTTAATGTTAGGTCTTCACTGGTATGTCTCTACTGCCCCTACTTCTCACCAGGGTCAACTGCCTGCTAAATTGCTCCCAAGTCCTGGAAGGCAGGTTCCTTACACAAGATGGAAGCCCACACTTTCCCCTGGCTCTGTGATTCATTTTGTCACATGACCCTGAGTGGCACAAAAATACAACCGGTGTCTCTCCAACTTTCTCAGAGGAGCAGATTTTATCTTCTGTGAGTGTCTACACAGCTAACATATACACCTGTCTACAAAAACAAGAAACGCATAATGCAGTCTAAATAAATCCTTTAAAAAATTATTCTATAAAGAAAACCTATTCTGAAGGGTTCTGAGGGACAAGTAAGGGTTTTAACTTTGATAGGAGGTAGACAAGTTTGATTTCCAGCTCTGCCAGTTACTAATCAGCTAGATATAGGCAAATAAGATAATTGTATTAGCCTCAGTTTTCTCATCTGTAAGACAGGGAAAATGACAAATACTCATGATGTTTATTGTGAGGACTGAATGACATAGTATAGGTAAGATACTTAATCGGTACTTGTAATTACTGTTATTTAATATGAAGCAATTTAGATGTTTAGAGCAATAACATGAAAAGAACTTTTCTCATCTGGTATCAATTTTTGTATCTATAATTAACCCTGTTATGGTTTTCCAGAACAGTCTGCCCCAAAGATATATTCTGGTCTCTATCTTTTGCAGGATAGAAAACTGCTTCCATATTTGAAAGGTCAGCTTTTCTTTCTGGTTCCTACCTGCACTGTTAAGGTCCTCAGACCTCCAGATGCAGGTTTTAGGCTGGGCTAGAGCTCCAGGAGTGGTGAGCTTCTGTGTCTCCGGTGGGGAAGAGACTTCTCAGAGTACAATGTCTCAGAATGGGCATCCTCCCGGCATGCTTAGCTCAGGGAGCACTCTGACTTCCCCTGGGATGTAACTGCACCCCAGTTACAGTGAAGGGGCTGAGTCTCACCTGGGGCCATTCCTGGGGCCTTCCTTTGCAACAAACCATTGTAAAACAAACAACCAGCCATAGAAACTACATTTAAAAAAATTGAAAGTGGAGAAATATGTGGTTCAAAATAGAAATTAAATGATTATTTTAAATTAGTGAAAAAAATACAACTACACATCAACAATAGTGAAGCAAAGATTTGGGACCCAGCCTGAATAATTAAGAGTATGTCAGGTAAAATGGGTATGAAATGTGTACAATGATTTCAGTATGGCCACCTCCTACAATCCGTAGGTAACTGGTTGGTAACTTCAATAGTTTTTTTTTTTCTCAGTAAGCTTATTGTAAGTGTCCTCTTTCTCAGTATTGTAACTAAGTAAATAAATTTCCATTATTTTATTTTGAGTTTTTTTTCCCCCTCTACCACATTAATTTTCCTAAAATGCCTTCTTCCTCACAAGTCAAAAATCTTTAGCAACTCCTGTTGGCTTTAGGATCTGGTCCAAATTTCTCAGCCTGGCAAGCTAGGTTATTCCACTGTTGTCCAACCCTTCCCTACAGAAATCTTTTATTTCAGCTGATATCCTCATTTTCCTCCAAATATACAGCTCATTGCTGCCTCAAAGATTTGATTCATGCTGAACTCTAAAAGGAAGGCTCTTCTCTGAGATACCTTCTCAGTCTATATATTTCCCTTCTTCGACTTGTTTATTTTCCTTCAATTCATGTTGATCTCTCAAACTTTTCTTCTCCAGTGACACTGATGCCTTACACAGAAGCATCAGGTGGGTGACTAGTGGATGTAAATAAAGGACTTCCCATAATATCTTAAACAGAGGAACTTCCCTTCCTGAGGCAATGACAGGCACCAGAAGAATGATTTGGATGCATACAATATTTGCTTTTATGAATGGCATTTTCAATTTTCAATATTTAAATACCCCCTCTGAATGTGTCCTTATTTCACTGTTTTCAAATGTAACTCATAATACAGTTAACTTAAGATATACAATCTCAATCTGAGATCAATACAGCAAGCAAATATTTTTTTCTTAATCTCTCCCATCTATTTTTTTTTATTTGCAAGCAAATATTTTTGAAGGAAAAAAATGTCTTCGAAATGGATTTATAAAGCTTCATCACATTACACTTAGAAATTGGTTATTCAGTTAATCAATAGAAGTCATCAACTGCTTCTTGTGATGAAGTTGTGGAAGCGCACAGTTGGTCTACAGATAGTGTATGATATTTAGGTCTGGCTTCACTTAAGCAAAGCTGGCAAAAAACCACTCTGCCTTCCTGCACGGAAATTTAGGACTATGTATCTGAGGGGCCTGTCCCAAGAATAATCCTATGGCCTTTCAACAGAACCAATTTGATCTGGCGAGCCATGTACTTTTTGAAGTAGGGAAGGAGGAACCAAGCTTCCAAGGAAATGTCATGATCTGTCAGGCGCTGTGTCCTGACAAGCTTTGATGTGTCCTCTCACTTAATGATAGACATCCCCACACAGGAGTGTTGTTAACCCCACTGTTACAGTTAAGAAAATTGCAATGACAGGATCACTCCAAGACTTGGATTCTTTATTTCAATCTAAGGTAAACAAAATCATGGTTATTCGTGACAGTTGGAACGCTCACTCTGTTGGGAAAATTAGATACAATGAGCCGTGAAAGGAAGCTCAAGCTTGCCAAGGCTCTGAAAAGATGACAGGTACTCTGACAGTGGCATCTAGAGTGACAGCATATGGCTATGCAGCTTGTACAGAGTACACGGGCAACCCTGGTCACATCGTAGGTATCACACATTTGTTTATTTTGACAAATTTCTGGCAGGTGTCAGTGAAGTGTCTTGTTCTAACAAAAGCAGCATATTATGACAATTTTCCAAGAAATGGAAGTGCAGTGTCTTGAGAAAGGTATCTTTTCCTAATTTGACTTCATCAGCTAAGCCTCTTCAATTACACTACGTCTCTGGCTCACAGCTCTTCCCCCTTTTGTGAAAATGTACCCATGTCTGCCTACACACAGACATGGGTACAGCTACCATGATTCCACCACCAAACCCTGGGCAGAACGACTAGATCCAGGCTTTGACTCCTCACCAGGTGGAAGCAATGGACTTTTCTCCTTGAGAAATTTGAAATGTGGAACTGAGAGATGCAGCGCCTGAGAGATGACAGAGTTGAGTCACACAGAAGGCAGTGCTGTAGGGGGAAGATGCTGCCATTGAGCCTTGGGTGTCCAAACCCTCCAGTGATCCCTAGAGATAATTCAGTCTCGTTAATATGTTGTACACACACACACACACACACACACACACACACACACACACACACTCTTTTAAAAATAAGCTTTATTTTTTAGAAAACTTTCAGATTTATTAAAAAAAGTATAATGATAACACAGAGTTCCCATATGCTCTGTACCAATTTCCCCCTATTATGAATATCTTAGTGCAATACATTTGTTACAATTAATGAACCAATACCTGTACATTGCTCTTAACTAAAGTTCATACTTTATTTTAGTCAGATTTCCTTAATTTTTACATGATGTTCTTCCGCTGTTCCAGGATTCCATTTAGGCTACCATTTTAAATTTACGTGTTGTGTCTCCTTAACCTACTCTTGGCTGTGATTATCTCAGAGGTGTCTTGTTTTTGAAGACCTTGACAGTTTGGAGGAGTACTGGTCAAGTATTTTGTAGAATATTCCTCTATTGGGATTTGTCAGATGTTTTTCTCATGATAAGATTGGGGTTATGGGGTTTGGGAGGAAGACCATACCTAGTTATCAACAGGAGTTATGACTGTTGGTGTTGGCCTTGACCACCTGGCTGGGGGAGTGTTCTTCAGGCTTCCCCAGTGTAGGGTTACTTTTCCTTCCTCCTTCTTTCAGACCCCACTCTTTGGAAGGAAGTCACTCTGCACAGCCCACACTTAAGTACTTGAGGGGGGAGCATCTACATAAATTATTTGGAATTCTTGGAAACCTTATCTCTCAAAAAATTATTTGAAGATTTGTCTTTTCCCCCCACAACACATATTTTTAACTTATATTTATATGAAACAGTTTGGGTAGCTTTCAACAACAACAAAAAGCCCTTTTAAAATCATCTGTTTCAGGAGAAGTGAACTCAAATACTTCTGGGTGGGTAGTGGGGAGAATGAGTGAAGCAGGTTGGATGTGATACATGGCAGATGTCAAAGCACATGGCATCTTCACAGGGGGCACAGCTCTTTGCTCTTGGCAATTGTTGCCACCTGGAGATGTAGGTCAGCTTTGCCATATATATCTTTTTGAAAAAAATAGAAACTGGTAATTTTGGATTCTATATGAAATCTCCTATTTTAAAATGTTGGCAACTAACCCAAATTTCTACAAATTTTGTGCTCACCCAACATAACTTCAGTTTGTGACTTCTGGGTAGATTAATGATTACATGTATTATTCATATGGAAACAGCCTCAGAAAGGTAAATGAGATGTCCTCAGTCATACCACTACCTTTTGTGTCTGAACTGGGATTGACATTCAAGGCTCTAACATTATTGCATATTCCTTTTTTCTGAAGATTCTTCAACAATTTGTTAGCTTTCTCAGAATCATCTGTACTTTGTTCTAGATTCACTGACTTTAATGAAATACATGGAAATATTTGGAAGCTGGAACACCTCTTTCATCAAGCCTATTCCAATTAAGTGATATCATTAATCCTATTCATGTGCTATTGGCTTTATTTTCCTTTGTTCCTTGCTAGAGTCCATGGTTCTCTTGTTTGTCACTTGTTACACTGGAGATGAACAGGGGCTCAGGCAAATGCCCACATTGGCAGTAATGGTTGCAAATGCAGAAATCAGAATTCTGTAATCTCCCAGAGGCTATGAATTTTGCCTTAAACATGTTTGTATTCTTTTCCCCAATCCAGTACCCACCACAATACCCGGCACACAGTAGGTGCTCAACAATGTTTGTTGAATAAATGACAGTCATTAATGACTTAAGTAAGATGAAGTATCAGCAAACGATAATATTGATGGCAACTAAGACAAACCAGATAGTGTGGAAATGAAAATATTTGGCATTTGTTAATGAGAACTAGGGATTCTAAACATCACAGAAGCTCTTAAAGAGGTTATATAATTCAGTTGTTTACAGAGCATAATTTGAACTTTAGATTATGACTATCATCCACCATTCTTCTCTGTGGGGACATTAACCTTTAGTCAGTTCTTCACCGGTATTATGCATATCTTGCATTCTTAAATTTATTAGTATCTAGTGTATCTCTATATATCCTCTTGATGACATGGTTTCATTTTTTTAAGCCTTAGAATTTAAACTCGCATGTATCAGAGACTTAAGTTCTTTTGCTTCCTGCTCATATACCTGAGAATGGGAGTTTTTAGCTAAAGGTACAGTCATGAGGAAGTTAATACATAGAGGCAGTGAAACAAAAAGTCTGGTCTCCTAAAGTACTGTTGCTGGCCTTGCCCAGGAACCCTGGGAACACCCGTGGTGTGTACACATCCTCACACTGTTCCTCCTGCTGTAGCTTGAGTGGCTAGTTTGCTACAGCTTCTCCACATGTTTAATTTTCTGTGCATAATGAGGAGTTACTCATTAAAGTGGTGAGATGAGAAAGTTTTTGCTTCCCAGGTCAGCACTAATTAATGCGTGTGTGTAGCTGTTTCATGGGGAACGTTAGTTCAAGAGTGATTTTGCTTGCACTACTCCCTGGTGAGCTCTGCAAGGTAAGTACAAAGATGCCTGAGATTAATTAAATGGAAATTCTGAATTACTCATTTCAGTGTATATGCATTTTTTTCTCAACTTTTCTATCCATGCCCTGCTTTCTGAATGTAAAGTGCTTATTCCAGTCCCAAGTATTACAAAGTAGAGATGGTCTTTGTTCTTTGGGTCTGTTCCTGCACAAAGAGAGTGGCTAAATAATGACAAGACTAATTTTTTGGTACTGTTGTAACTGTCTTCTAATCATGGCAGAAAGATTTCTGATCTTTTTTAAAAAATGCTAAATGTAATTGAAAAACAATTTTTTATCCTAACTTCAAATGCCACAGGTATGAAGAGTGTTTTAAAACTACTCCAAACTCCTTTGAACTGACAGCTTTCCAGACACAGGCAAGTGGGAGGGTGGGGCTTACTTGGTGTAGTATGAAAACCTTGAAGCGTTTCGTGTCTGTATCTATATCCATGTTTATATCTATTTCAATCAGATGGGCATACATTACAGTGCACATCTGGTTTGAATATCTGAAGGCTTGATCACAAGGAGGATGAGGCTCCTCAGGATAGTATACCGCATATAAGCAATCATCTGCCTCTTCGATGGGTTCCATCATTCCAGAGGGTCTTGATTTACTGTAACATGTATGGTGATATACTATGCTAAGACCCACATACAAGTTTATGCAAAGGGATTAACAGGTCCAATGGTAATCAAGGTTTGGACCCCCCTCATATCAAGCTGTCACTCCTCACCCGTTCTGTTCAGAATTACTGGACAGCCATTTACACATAAGTCCTTGAGGAGGCAGCCAATTGCTAATTGCATCAGAAGCCAATATTGAATAGTTGAAAAATAGACAAAATCAATAGAATAGGCCACAGTTGTTGCTAATAGTTTAGATATATGTTTCTTTCACAGGTAGAATTGGTGGATAAAACTTTCCCATTTTAGAATGTGTTCCAAATTAATCCATTCAGCAAATGTTCACTAGGCACTTAACTGTGTGCCAGGCTGGTGATGTCCCTGGGGATACCATGGTGATTAAGTCAAAGTCTCTCCCTTCATGGAGACAGTTTCTTTTGTTTCAATTATAAGCAACACCAAGCTGGTATTTTTAGTGAAGAGAAACAATATTCCCCTAAACATATAGTTTTAGAATTCTGATAAAGGGCCTTTCAGGTTAGGGAGAGCTAAAGCAGAGTTTCCTAAGTTCCTCTCTAACAGACCCAAAGGTACTCTACCTTACTAACAGGATCACTGCTCTAATGAGTTAAGTAGGTGTTTTTGCTCAGAGTATACAGGGACACCTTTTCAGACTATCATTTAGGATTTCATTTATTACATGGGTTCCGTAAAAAAAGGGTTAGGTACTGAGGTTACTGTCCTCCGTAGAGCTTTACCATATTCTCAGGAAAAAAGAGAGAAGTGGATTTGTCCTATTATTTGTTTGGCATTTCTTCTTCTTACTTAAAGTTCACGTTTACTTTAACATTCCTTTCCTTCTTCAGGTTTGTTTTTTGTCAATCTCCTTTTTTTTCCCCCCACATTCTTTTTTTTTAATTTTTTAAAATTTTGGTATCATTAATCTACAATTACATGAGGAACATTAAGTTTACCAGATTCCCCCATCATCAAGTTCCCCCCACATACCCCACCAGTCACTGCCTAACAGCATAGTAAGATGCTATATAATCACTACTTGTCTTCTCTGTGTTGTACAGCCCTCCCCGTTCCCCACCCCCGCCACATTATGTCTTTTTGCCCACATTCTTAATGGATTTGTTAGGGGAAGTACTTCATTGCAAATAAGACTATTTCAGAACCTCATGGGAATGATAACATGTACGACAGTAAGACAGCCAGAAAGGTAAGGGGGTGTGGTCCCCAGGTGAGGTATGCTTTACCTCTGGGTAGGATAACAGGGGCCTGGCTGAAGTGGTCTGAGAGCTCAGATTACATTAACTATGGGTCAGGTATCAGTACAACTCCCTCCTCCTCAGCTTGCAGTTTTCAAAGTCCAAGTTCCATCTTGAAGTGTGGTCACATTTTTTTGTTTCTTAAAATTCCCTGCATTAGCCAAATTTTCTAATTTGTATGTTCTAAATTTCTTTCTGTAGCTTAGTTTTTTTGGTAAAAGGTTTATTTATTCTCTATTTAAAAATTTTTTTTTGGATTCTAAATTCTTCCTGTCAGGGAGTTCTCCTATTAACTGTTTACAGTGGAGTGCATTCTACACTATGTGTCGGGTAAACAGTAGTTACTCAGAGAAGGATATTTGGGCGCCTCGGCGTTATTAGAAAAGTTCTTAGAGGGGGCCGACACCAGTTCATATTTTTGGACGGCCCTCAGATGTAGTGTACATTACTGTATTTTCTTCTACTGTGTAATGAGTCCTTTCGTTATCCCCAAAGTTTGCCTTCACCGTTCTCTTTACAATTTTTTTCTAATTGTAAAAGCAGTCCATTCCTTTTTGGAACACAAAAAGGTAATTATAATAAAAAAAAAACCCTCACGTATAATTTTGCCAGGAATGAAAGCACTTTATGCCTTTTCTTTGCATATGACTAGTTGCCTCTGAATCTTAGGCAGCACTTAAAAAATAACCACCAAGTCTCTCTAAATTCGAGCGATGTTAAAGATTAGGTGTTATTCATCAAGTTCATACGGTAATCAAAGAATCGCAGTGGGGGAAACAACTCGCATCTGGCCAAAGAACCTGGGTATCCCGGGCTCTCTTTAGGGAGTTTTCGTGTCCTCGAACCCAGCCATCTCTGCAGCTACCCATAGACGAAGCGGGCGCGGGCGGAGCTTCCGATGATTGAAGGTAGAGCGAGAGGAGCTACGGAGTTGTCGCCAATCAGGGCTCTGCTCTGTTTTCCCTTTCCAGCCAATGAGGGAGCTCTACTGGCGAGGCGCTCCTCAAGTCGGAGATGCTTGCCCCTATCAGCAGGCGCCTTTTACAAGACGTACGCTGCGCCCACGCCCTGCCCCTCTACACCCCCTCCTCCGTGTCCCCGCCCCCCCGAGGGAGGGGGCCAGGCGGTTACTCGCTGCGCTGGAGGGGAGCGGGGGCCGGGCTCCTGCTTGGCTCGGGTGTTACGCGCCCGCTGAGTCGGTGCCGAGGCCGCTGGCTCCTGATTGTCCTTTGCGGCGGTCGCGGTGGCTGCCTTCTTGCCTCCGGTCCCGGGGCTGCGGGGCTAGAGCGGTCGCCCCTCCCGTGGGACACGGCTGCCCAGAGCAGGTAATGGGCCGCCGGGGCTGCAGCGCCCGTCGGAGCGCCACCGCGGCGCGGGTAGTGGGGTCTACTCCGGGCTGCTCCTGCCGCCGGTGCCGGGGCCCACCGGGCTGCGTCACCCGGAGCCCATGCTGGCCTCTAGGCGCCTCCGCTCTCTGTCCGCGGCACCTTGCGGGGAGGTGGGGGCGGGGTCGGAGGGGGAGGGGCAGGGCCGCGGCGCGCGGGACCCTTTGGGGATCCCTTCGGACTCGGGGTGAAGCGGCTGGGCCCAGCGGAGGGCGGGAGGACGTGCAGGTGGAGGGGAGACTGCGGGTTTGAGTCACAGCCAGGCTCCCGACGGTAAAGGTCGTACTTACTGATAAGTAGCGATAAGCTTAGTGGCTTTTTAAAAATTAAAACCGAAAGGTGTTTCTACTTGGGTATTGTTTGTTAACTACCCATTTTCTGGGGACCGGCTTCGCAGTGCAATTTACGCATTGACATTATTATTTTTAACGCGAACTTGCTAGGGGACTTATTCTTAAGTGACAAGTAGATCCAGCTGTGACTCACCTTTGGGCTGCAGTGGGAACCGGTGCCGTAGGAACGAGGGGGAGGAGTATTGAGAAATGCCTGTGCAGGTTTGGAAGGATCGTGGGCGTAGGACCTTGATTCTGTCGCGGATGGGATTAGAATTGTGATTTTTTTCTTTTTCTATTTTTTTTTTAAACATTAGTATCCAAATAAAAAAAAGTCTCTCCCAAAACAGGTTTTAGGAATGCACCTGCTACTCATGAAGTAAGTCCTAGGCTATTATTTACATGATTTGGTTTATTTGTAGAGAAGCACCTTGAATTGTTAATCTTTTCTTTGACGTGCTTCAGAGCCTTTTTTCGTGAATCGGTTGTGTACGAGTGAAATGGTGAAGGTCACTGGGTTTCAGCAGTGAGGGCACAGTGAGAACTCTTGGAGCGGTGTTCTCACTCTCCTGCCAGGTTCTCTCTAGCTCTGCAGACGGTACAGGTTCCCCCCGCTATCCGCCAGTAGAGCAAGCCTCTGAAACCTTTATAAGCCGAAACAGCATACAGCAAAGATGCAGTTACCATTGATTTATTAAGGAAAAATTTTGAGCGCTCCCAGATCCCAAAAATCACTTCTCTTAGGCTTTTCTGAGACCCTAGGACGCCTCTTGCTAATGGATGCACAAAGTAAATTGAGATGAAGTACATGAGCTTACAGACACCGTTAAAGCTCTGGCCGCTTGATGATACTCCGGTAGAAGGAGCACGGTGGTGGTTCCGCTCCCTGCTCCGTCTCACACTGCCTGTGTAAGGGCTGGCTTCAAAACTAAAGCTGAACGCTTGTTTTCACTTTTAGCCTTTTTTTCGTAAAAGCGAAAATCTTCAGATTCGCGAAAGCAAGCTTTTACTAACGTACTTCCTTTCTTATACGCGAAGTGACGTAATGTGAACTTTAAAAAATGGGGAGATACCTGTATTCAATTTAGCTCTTTTAATTGAGAAGCTCAGAGCACTACCTCCGTTTTAGTATCCGCCTACTCTCCAGAGGTAGAGCCTATCATGCCCATTTTACAAGTACATAAACTGAGAGCCCTAGAGATGAAAGAATTCTGTCCCAGGTCACTTGACTGCTTTATTTTACACTGCAAAGGACAATCTGGTAAGTTACCCACCAGCAAGCAAGCTTTGGCATAACGATTTGGTATCGTGGCACACAAGTCACAGTTGGAGATGGTTATTTACAAGTTGGATACTGTCTCTTAGTTTCCCTCCTCCCCCCACCCTAGGTTGCTAAGATAGTTTGAGTTGCTAGGAAGTTAATTTTTCACACAGGCAAAACAAACAAATCCTAGTGATGCTATGGGAAAATCTCTACATTTTTGGAGGGGGTTCCAAATTAGGGAGCCTTATTTATGTTTGTATCTGTAACTTAGCAGTGTAATAGAAACGGATTGTAATGAGTTTTGGTCATGATTTAGGACTTTGTTTTGGTAAACTTCAATATCAATTGAGTGGAATTGAAAATTTGAAAATCATTTAATTAGAATAACAAACAAAGGAGACAGTGGACATCGGTCTTAGATGGATAGTTGGGAGGAACCTGGAATGCTGTCAAGACCTGGGGAACGTCAGAGAATTGTCAGGTTATAAGCTTACTGAGAACTTGGAAATGTCTTATGAATTACTGAGTGTAACTGTTCTAATGAAGGAATCCTTTGTTTTCACTGCAGATGTGTTGCATGTAACATGTACCTTTTGACATAATTCTTGTAGGATAGGCATCCTTTACCCAAGCTGTTTCTATTTATTTATTTGTCTTGTATTAATGCTTTTACTTAATTTTTACTCTCCTGTCAATATTTCTAGCACCCAAGGAAAGATTTTCATAAAGAAACCTTTATCATCTGAAAACGAGTCATCTCTTCTGCTGGAACACAGCCTCCTTACAGTTTGGGAAATTGGAGATTTAGGCTGTTGGTAAAGTAATTGTATTTTTACCTGGGGTTTCGTCCCTTAAAAAATAAAATTATGATATTACATGACTTCCACTAGATGGCGCACAGGGTGCTGCTAATTTGGTATTTCAGATTTTTTTTTTCTTACAAGCATTTCACTGACAAAAATGCAAATATGCGGCCAACTGTTTCCCTTGTAATTGCAACTCAGAATTGCAATGAGTGATTTAAGTCAGTTTTATTAAATGCGATTATTTGGAAGGATACGGCAGCTTAAAGTGAAGGAAATTGTTAGTAATTTTAGCAAGAGCTTCTACTAAAAGGCTCTTTAGATCCCAGATCAGAGTATGGATTCATCGGTCCTTATTTATGTACACTGACTTTTTGATTTTTAATGGCTTGTGGTTTGTTTAAATCTTATGTGAACTATGATCTGTTTGAGCACAGTTTTGTTTTCCTTTCCTCAACCACCAATTCTTTAAAAGAAGTGGTAGAATAAAGTGGGTACAGTAGCAATATTATTCTGTACCTACCATGAGCAGATACTTAAATGATAAAAACTTTTTTTCAAGGCATGTAAAACAGTTTTTCCTTGAATGCTTACTTAAACCTTTCTATTCTTTTAGAGAGCATTATTATCAGCTTGCCTCACTTATGGAAGACAGGGGAGCATTGTACCTTTGAGGAGATAAGAAAATGTCGTGGTTGTGTTGACAAAAAGCAGTTCCTGTGTTAGGTATGGAACTGGGAGTGTTTGTGATGAGCAAGGACTAGTTAGGATGATTGCATTTTTCAAGAGAAAAATACTGGCCTTCAGTAAAAGGCAGGATAAGAACTTAAGTGGGAACGTCTTTAGGTGGTTGGTGTGTGTTTATTTCAGCTCCACCAAACTCTGTGGCAAGGAGAGCTTTGGTCATTTGCTTCTTGGAACCAGAGCTGGTTCTTGGGGATTTGATGGTGATTTGGGAGGGGGAAAATAAATAGATGCTATTCCTTCTAGGAAGGTGGCTTCTGGCAATGCTGCCAGCCCTTGGGTGAGCAGAGGCGTGGAAAGGTGGGTGGTTGTGAGTACACAGGCAGATAAGGAAGCTGCCTCTGGGTGGGCTCCCAGAGCTCTCTGCACCTGTGCTGACTTTAGCATCCTAAGCTAGGTTGATAGCTATCTTGTGGTGCAAACATGGGCTAGACTACTAACTCTTCAATCTTCAAATTTATGTTTTTAATTTTTAAAATAAGTAGACTCCTGAACGTTATAAAATTTATGAATTGAGTTTGTAAATGAATAGCTTCAAAGAGTAATTTGGCATGTGGTAGGCTCTCAAATTTTGGTAGGTGCTTGACATACTCCTGACACTCTGTTTTGTGCTCCCTTTAAAAAAAGACTTTGTTAGAAATAAGCAAATTTGAATACACATGGAACTCTATTGCTCAAACTGAGGATGTAAGTAGGGGCAGGAAAGAAGCCACCTGGTCTAAATAGTGCTTTGAAAAGAGAAGGGTCAGGAAGGCAGGGCAGTTTTTAGATAAGGGCAGAGATAACTTCACCTGCTCTAGTGTATATATATATATGGTGAAAGCATCTTACTCAATCATGATAAAAACATATTCTTTGGAAGATGGGGGCCTATTTTTATTTAAAACAGCTTTAATCTTGAGAGTCAAGTATTTCTGAAGGTTATAACTTTTTTTTTGGCAATTGGAAGTTTGTTGAAGCAATGTTTTATAAAAATCTGGAGTTGAGCCAGGGATAAAAAGGATTATGGAGCTATGGACCAAGATTTATCAAGCTTCTTCTGTGCTATTCAAAACAGCTTTCTTCTTTGAACCAGAGCTGGTTCTTGGGGATTTGATGGTGATTTGGGAGGGGGAAAATAAATAGATGCTATTCCTTCTAGGAAGGTGGCTTCTGGCAATGCTGCCAGCCCTTGGGTGAGCAGAGGCGTGGAAAGGTGGGTGGTTGTGAGTACACAGGCAGATAAGGAAGCTGCCTCTGGGTGGGCTCCCAGAGCTCTCTGCACCTGTGCTGACTTTAGCATCCTAAGCTAGGTTGATAGCTATCTTGTGGTGCAAACATGGGCTAGACTACTAACTCTTCAATCTTCAAATTTATGTTTTTAATTTTTAAAATAAGTAGACTCCTGAACGTTATAAAATTTATGAATTGAGTTTGTAAATGAATAGCTTCAAAGAGTAATTTGGCATGTGGTAGGCTCTCAAATTTTGGTAGGTGCTTGACATACTCCTGACACTCTGTTTTGTGCTCCCTTTAAAAAAAGACTTTGTTAGAAATAAGCAAATTTGAATACACATGGAACTCTATTGCTCAAACTGAGGATGTAAGTAGGGGCAGGAAAGAAGCCACCTGGTCTAAATAGTGCTTTGAAAAGAGAAGGGTCAGGAAGGCAGGGCAGTTTTTAGATAAGGGCAGAGATAACTTCACCTGCTCTAGTGTATATATATATATGGTGAAAGCATCTTACTCAATCATGATAAAAACATATTCTTTGGAAGATGGGGGCCTATTTTTATTTAAAACAGCTTTAATCTTGAG